ACCCTAAGCTGGAATTTCTTGATGCATTTGTCACTTGGTTGGATGTGTGGGAATCCAACAAACACGACAACGGCATTCTCATGCGAGAAACTCAATCTGCTCTAAGGCATTCCGCCTATGTAATACTTGAATTCAACAAGTACTGCCTTGTCGAGCTTCGTTATAAATATGTCCTGCTCGGCAAGCTGCAGACAGAGGGCCTCGAAAACCGATCTGGCCAGTACAGGCGAATGGCTGGTGGTCATTACCACATCAGCATTAGACAGCTGTGCGAGAGTGAAGGCAGAATTCGCCTACAAAACACTCTTCCTATAATGAGCAGTGACGATTTCATTGATGAGCCTGTTCCATCGGCAACAGCCACAAATCGACAGGACTTCAGGGTTACTGTCAAACCTGAAGACCTTGACAGCTTACGCACACGCGTCGCTGTTTTTGCTTATGTTGGAGGCTTTTACACTAACTCTGTGGTGAAAACGTTGAAGTGCAACTACTGTCAACCTTGTTGCTGACAGTTGCGATGCTTAGTGCGATGGCGATGCTAATTCTTTAATAGCAAGTCTCAATCGAGCTGGCTTGAAATTTCCGAACGCGTGTGTTGTGACAGTAGTGATGCACACTCTGGTTGTTGTTGCAAAGTTGCTGCAGAATGAAAAATATGCCGCGTGCTTTCTGCAGGCACGAAATAACAGATGTATTGTTCAACAGCTTGTGAAAGAGAGCTTGCCAGCATTTGAGGAACTGGTGAGTTGTGCGAATGGGCACAAACCAGATTTGGTGATAAATGTGCAACAAATGTTCTGCTAAATAATAATTTCAAAGAGAGGAATGACGCAGCCGCTGTTGCTAAAGCCGATGCCCAAGCTGTCGCAAAAGCACGGAAATTGAAAACTGTTGCTCCAAAATAAAGTGCTCATGTATCATTTGCAATTTTCATTAGTATGTTCATTTATTTGTGTTTTTGATCATTGCTTCGTGCCCCTGTTTCGTGCGTATATGTTGAATAAACTAACCCTTACTACAGGAAGTTTCAACGTTTGACAAGTTTCTTATAATTAACAATACCCTTTGAAGACATTCAGACGCGAGAGAAAACAATATTGCTGAGATACAGCTGGTTCACTGCGAGAGGAGTGCCAGAAGCGGCGCGCTCCCGCAGGACCCGTCGACCACTGCCCCGCACACCGTCAGATTCACTGCAGGAACTTTTCCAGTTGTACCATCTGCTCCGGGCGATTTGACGTTCCCAGCCCAGTAAGCTGACCCACCTACAGACTCCACACCTTTCCCAACACTTTTCCCAACAACTGTGGAAGCCCGTAGCCCGTGACACCACTCATAACATCAACCCGGAACCCGCCGCTCTTTCGCTGCATGCTATCAGCTTTCCCAACACACCGCAGCCTGCTGCTCAACCCTTCGTAGACTACCACCCAACTTCTCTAACGTCTCAAGTGACAGCCAGAGTTTTTCAGACCTGCCTATGAAAATTTGCTCTCACCTTTCTGAAGAGCCACACCATATACGCCCCGCCACCAATCCATAAACCAGTCACTAACCGGGGTTGGGGACAGCCATTACACGTTACCACCGTCCTCCTATGGTTTCATGGTAGGCTCTGCCGGCTATATGCGCAGTGCACAACCCATAGTATGTCCGGAACATCCATTGCGCTGTCGAGAAAGACACCGTTGTAGGCATTCAAGAAGCTGCAACGTGCGACGATTGGGGTGGCGTTGACCACAGCGTTTACACGACTTCCACAAGTGCTTTTTCCAACCCGTTCCTCTGCTTTTCTCGCTGCTGCTATAGATGCGCAACCATCGGTGCCTTGCCCGCTTCGTGGGTCCCAGTGACGGCCGCCGCAACCTTCGGACTCCACTTTTCCAACCTGATGACGTTTGGACTTCCCAGTGGACACTGCAGAAACTGCCACACATGTACATAGCGTTTTTATGTTATCACGACCTCTGTTACATTTTCTCCCTATCGCGTTACGTAACACGCTAGGCGGGGAGCCCATGTAGTGTGGCGCTAGCGGCGGCCAGCCGGCCAAAGAAAAAAAATTGGCAGCATATCCACGGAGTGAATGATGGAGAGTGGGGCGAAGCATTCGTCCGTCCATTCGTTCTTGCTTCCTTCCGTCTGTGCCACCGTCCATGCGTCCATCCGCCCGTGCGTGCGTGCGTCCGTTCCTGCGTTCGTCCATGCATCCGCCCCTGCATCCGTTCATGCGTGCATTCATGCATCTGTCTGTGTGTCCGTTCGTCCATCTATTCAACACTCCAAGTACCACCATCTCGCAACTTTTCATCATATATTCCCCATATAGAAACACCGCCATCCAGCGGACATTCCAAGGACTAAACGTGAGGTGGCATACGCACACTTTCTAACAGCTCTTGCGCTTCGGGTCTACTTCCCACCTTTAACCACCTCGAGTTCACGGTATATACTAGTTCACTGTATTCATGGCACTGCGGCCCAACACTCGCTAAACCTTTCTAAAACCAAGGAGGTTACACCCAGCGAGTATAACGTAGCAACCTTTTCCTGGCAGATAGAGCTCAATGTACATGCCAATGGCTGCATGGGAAAGGAGAGGCAGGAGAATTCGGCTTTTACTTTCTTACGGCTTGCACTTCGTACCTACTTCCCACCTTTAACTACCTCGAGTTCATTCATGGTATATACTAGTTCATTGTATTCATGGCACTGCGGCTCAACGCTCGCTAAACCTTTCTAAAACTAAGGTGGTTACACCCAGCGGGTATAACGTAGCAACCCTTTCCCTTCAGATAGTGCTCAATGTAAATGCAATGGCTGCTAATGGGGATCGCAGCGTGCACGTTAACTAAAAGCCGAATGCTCCTGTCTCTCATACCCCATTATCAGCTATTGGCATGTACATTGGGCAATATTTTTTGATGGTCAACAACGCACAGAAGGAATCTCTAACCGGCACCACCTTGGCGATCAAAATGTTTGCAGGTCAAAGCGTAAGACTGGTTACATATTACGACGGGACGCGGGACGAACGGGTGCCGCTATAAGGAGCTTCGCCCCTAAAAGACGGTGAACGCCGGTGGCTTGTTACGCGAGGCGCTTAGGATGTTCGTGTGCTTCTGGCTGGCTGGACGCCACGGCCGCTGCTTTACTTGGGCATCTCGTTTCCGTCCTTAAGTGTACGTCTTCGTCTGCTGATTTAACCAGCGATGGCGGCTCGTCTCCTTCGGACGCCGTTACGTCGCTAGTCTAAACGAGTGGTTGAACCACACACTTTGCGACATGTTGAGAATGTACATCCTCCAACCACACCCAATGGGACACTCCACTACTCTTTGTTACGTTCGCTTACAACATCGAGACGCAAGCGACTACTGGTTTTCCCCCGTTCTTTCTTTTGTACGGCCGCGAGCCTTCCCACCGATTGGACGCCATACTACCGTACGTCCTCCGACAGGGGAAGCTTAAGGTCTACAAAAGACGTGGCATGACGACGTTCTCATCACCCAGCTCCAGTGAGTTTCCTGCTGGCTCCTTTGTCTCGCTTTGGGTACCCCCCCCCCCCCCCCCGTTCATGACCTTTCCTTTTCTGGCGCTGTACTCTACCGTGTCACTGAAGCCATCTCGCCGGGGAGCGATATTGTCGAGCCTATCACACAATCGCCAGATTGGTGCCACCGAGGACGCGAGACCGTACACGTCGACCGTCTCAAGCCTTACTACGACCCCCTGATTGTGCCTACTCCCTGAGTCGCCAGGATGGCTGCGCTTCACCCGGGGGCCTTGTAGTAGAACAGATGCACCGACGTGCATGTGCCTTCGAATGAGGACGAAAAACCGCGTGTTCTGATTGCACGAGAGCTTGTGCCACTTTTGCCAACCTTGTCGTATGGTCATTTTTTTCTTCGCAACCTTGTTGCGGCTTCGCTACATCAATAAACTTCATCACACACGAAACGTTCAGAAACGCCGATTATAAACTGCGAGATGTGGTTTTGGTCGAATGAGGTCCTGCAGCTTGTGGCGAACCAAGGAGAAGTACAAAAGAGCGTACGGTATCATGGAAAATCCACCCGATGGCCGATATCGCATCGGGAGGCTGCTCAGTGCACAGCATCAGAGGAACGCACGCAGCAGCATCACTCGACTGGAAAGCTTGTGGCCAGGCCAGGATGGAATAGATCCGAATGGGTCTGACAAAAGACTCCGGTGATCAGTGATTGCAGGGCGGCCGAGTGTGCGCGCTCTTGTTGTGCGACGTGGAACTCGAAAGATGGCGCCAGGTCACGACTGCTGCGCGAGCCGAGCCGGCCGGAGTTGTGATGTGACATTGAAGAAGTAGCGAGCGCGGGCGTGTAACCTGTGTGCGGGTTTTGAGAAAACGCAGAATTGGCCTACTGTGCATTTGAGGAGCCACCGCATTCTTGTCTTTCCAGCAGTGTTGCTTTCTCTACGCAAAGAAGCGTCGTTCTATTAAAGTAACCGTTGTTTTTGCCAGTCTTTCTCTCCCGTCTTCCGAATCATCATCGCTTTGCTCTTAACACTGTGATTCATCGAGTTCATCTAAAAATTGTGGCTAGCGCTGCGGCACCTGGTGTTGCGTTTTTTTATGTGCCACCCATAATATATTCCTTGTAACGTAATGAATACACTGTAGGACACCTGAACGCCAACGTGGGAGTGCCTATAGCAGGCATTTATGTAAAAATTAAGGTAGCCTCCTCATTTTTCTAGACGCAAGACGGCTTTCAGTAGGAAGATCATATACTTCGATGTCAAAGATGCTTCTCTTATAACAGGGATGAAGACGCGCATATCATTGTAATTATTTTTGTACGAAAATACGCAGTAGTTGGAGTGCTATGCCAGCTCCCGTGCAACCATCTTCATCGAATCGAATCGGCACCACAAGTGCAAGTCTATAGGGCTGAGAGTTTTATCAGCAACCCATTTCTATACTACTGGTGCTGTAGGTTGTGCCGGAGTTTGCTTACCATTCTAATCATTGGTTTCGTCTTGACTTTCTTGGCTCTTGATGCATACCGCAGAGTGTTGATTGTCTCGTGGGCATTGGAAGCACTGGGAGAAACGCAGGCTATCTGCACAGAAAAATGGACAAGAGACCTCCTCGCATTCTTTTCATTACGGAAATGTTCAAGCTATTTGAATTCCCGGTTCACTACGACAGAAAAAACTATGAACCATCTCCCTGAAGGGCACCCTGACGGGATACGAAGCATCAGCAGTGCGCAAGGCGTTGACCCAGTTCCAACGGGCGTCGACGCGGGTGCTGGAAGAACGGTTTGAAGCGAAACTCGGGGTAGCGTTTACTCGAATAAACGTTTCTTTGAAACGCAAAGTCACGGGAGGCGGGACGCGCTGAAGACGCTTGTGCTCGGCTTGCTTGGCTCGCGTGTCGTCGCTGTTACCCGCGTGCCGTCTGTATTCTCGAACGCGATCGATTTTCTTGACTCGCACATCGTCGGTGTCGTTGGTCTTCCACTGTCGACGCTTGCGTTTCCTTGGCTCGCGCCTCGTCGGTGTTCCTGGCGCGACATCACCATTCGCGAACGTGATCGGCTTCGCTAACCCTCGCAACGCCGGCGATAGCCGGGAAAGCTACGCGCACACTAAAGGAAGCATGCCGCGATGGTGTCTCACCCGTCGGCGCGCTCACGCAGCAAGCAGCGGCGCGCTGTCCACATTGTCGTCGAGGCGCGCGCACCAGCCGGCTCGCGGCTTCTCGCCAACAGATGGAGAGAGGTGGCGCGGGTGGTGGTGGTAGTGGTTAGAAGAAGAGAAAAGGCACCTAATTTCTGCAACCCGGTCGGGAGCACGGCGCAGTGCCCCGACCGGGTTCGCGCACATGCAAACGTACGCGCACGCTAGCGGGAAGCATGCCGCGATGGCGTCCCACCTGTCGGCGCGATCACGGGGCGAGCAGCAGAGCGCTGTCTACATTGTCGGCGCTGCGAAATTCTCGAGGCGCGCGCAGTACGCGCACCCGCCGTTCACGGCTTCTTCTCGCCGACAGTGGCGCTGGTAAGATGATGCCCACGTTAGGAGTGGGCTTGAGTGTTGCGAGTTGTAGAGAGGGTGAAGCAAGAGAGAGCTGACATGTCGCGAGCGCGCGGCCGGTGAGGAAGAGAGACGCCACCGCGCACCGCTGGGAGGGCGTGAGCTACTTGGCACCGTTCCAACACCTGCGGTGAGGAGAGCGGTGTGGACGGAGGGACAGCGGTACATAGGCTAGTCAAATAGCTGTTTCGCATCTAGAACTTATCGTCGTGAACGGATTTTATCGCATATATCTATTATATGTTCGGAAATACTGGGGCTCTTGTAGTGATGCCGCGATGCGCAGGCTCTGCCCAGTCGAAAGCTCGCCACCGCCCTCTGGCATCACGTGACTATTGGCACAGCAGCTGCAAAGCTGCCTCCGCGCACAGCGCGTTGGCCACCGATGCGCTGAGCTCAGGACTTTATTTTGTCGAGTGCATACTCACGATTAAAGCCATTCCAGTGCCACCAAGGCTGTCGGCCAGCAGCTTAGTAAGGGTACTGTCCCTGTATGGGATATGGCCCGTCCGCCTCTTAGAGTCCGCTAGGCATGATATGCAGTTACCTGGATGAGAAAAAAAAGTGAACCACACAATACATCACTCTCACAGTACTTGACGAGATCGACAACCAATTTTTATGGTGTGCCTATGCTGTTTGTTTAGCGCGACGGAAAGCTTACTGGTCAGTGAGTCTAATAATATAATGTTGCGGCCGTGACAAGAGTGCCGCTTCTCAGCGTGCAACTCCTTTTACGTCGTGAGCAGTACGAAATTGAGCTATATTGTATAATAATATACACACTCTAAATACGAGCCTTTCCTCATATGACAGCTTCAGACTGCGCGGCTATGTCCAGCAAAGTGATCGACTTCATATCCCATAAGCGTGTTTCAAGGCAAAGCTGCATGTGCGACATGATGATTTTTGCTTCTTGAAAGCACGCTTTTAAAAATATAAATGCGAGTCACAACATGAAAATAATTCTGGAATCGGTCACTACATATATTTTATTGTCTTTTGATAGATACTACATTCTTGTCGCCTGTTCTGGCCAGTTGTCGGTCTCTTTAAGTGCATGCGGCATTTGTCAAAGGGACACCAAATGCAGGTGCCAACTCATCATAAATTTTCCTAGTACCATTCCACGAGCCTTGTTGGGCGTAAATCGTACTTTAGTTTTGAAGGAACCACTTTTTAGTGGTCCGCCTACCTTTAGCGTGATGCATACCGCCCACCTCCGAGAAGGCACTTGTAGTTTAACATTCCTTATGTCCGGCTTTAGCCAGAGCTACTGCAGCACTTTTCGGTCTCGGGCAACATGGCGCATGCACCGGAAAGGAGGCGTACAAGAATGTATTCTCCAATGAATTGCTTTCGTATTTGCTATCCACTGCTTTTACATATTGCTGCTCGCGGAGAGAACAAGTTCTAGTGAATCTCGATCCTCGTACATTGCTTTCTAGTGTGCGAAGCTACGTGATAACCAGGCGTCAGTGCAATAGTGCTGCTATATAAACGTGCGCACGCCGCACGTTGCGTGCCCTTCATGCTGGTGCCGCTCGGTGCCGGTAATGATAGGTCCGCGAACGGACTCATGAGTCGGCTCACTCATATCAAGCCTGAGATTGAACGAGTACTGGTATGTCGGCGAATCGGATTGTTACTGAGCCTGGATGAGTATTATTTTGTTGAGTACGAGTCCGAGTGAGTCCGGCTCAGGAACCTTTTGATGAGTCTGAAAGCGACTCAGTCGAATGCGCAAAATATATTTTTATTGAGTGTGTCTGAGTGAGTTTTAGTTTTTTTTTGCTTACTTAGTGCTATCTGCCAATCTTCATCATTACTACCAGTTTTGCCTGGATTCACATGTATACTCACGTGTAGTCACACGTTTTCGGTGCAGTCTTGTTCACGCGCCACTAAAATATCAATTGATGACAAGCAGAACGTACACAGATGGGTGTCCTAGCCTCTTACTTCCCTCCCCCCCAACCCCCTGCCCCCGGCTCCTTCAGGGAATATCATAATATATGGTAGCGCAGAAAAAGCACACGGACAAGAAAAGGCATTCAAGAAAACACACCGCAATGTTGCGCTGTGTTGCCTTGAATGCGCCTTTTCTTGTCCGTGTCCTTTGTCAGCGCTACCTTATATTATCATGCTACCATACCAACAAGCCCAAATCGCCACCCTCATTGTCCTCCAGAAAAGTTCTTGATACATCTTATGGTGCCATCACTTTCAAGAAATGTGTTCTTCCTGGTTTTCACAAAATCATAACTCGTATTTGAAGGTAATATATCAAAATGCGCATAGAAGACCACCGATTACGGGACTACTAGTTTAAAGAGTATGGATAGCATGGTAAAACAGAAAGCTGATTCTTGGCTTACGACCTCATAAGTGGACTCACTCGGGCTCACTCAGACTCAGAACGAGCAGTTAGTTTGAACGAGCCCGGGTGAACAATACTTTAGTGAGTTCGAGTCCGAGTGGGTCCGGTTGAAGAAAATTTTTGCCTGTGAACCTGAGTGAGTCCGGCTCGGGAAATTTCTGTTGTGTGAGTCGAAAGCGCAAAATGTATTTCACGAGGGAGTCTCGGTGAGCTTTACAGTTTTTGCCGCCATATGGCTGCCCTTGCACGTCCATGCTCAACTTGATATTCTGTTTCGATCCTAAGACACAAGCGACGATTTCTCCGGCTCAGGGTAGACACGTGCAGAGGCCGAAAAATAGAAGTAGAAAGAGAGACGGGAGGAATTTTCTTCGAAAGTCCAACTTCGAACCCGACGGCGAGCGAGGCTAGCGCCATAATCACACGGCTATGCAGGCACGCTGTAGCATACCACAAGACAGCCATTGGGATCCGTGTTTTTTCGGTTTTATCTGAAGAAAATTGCCACAACCCACGTACAGTAGAAATAGATAATAGCGGAGCACGAATGAGGAAGGTTGGTTTGTCACTTTAAAATAATCACAAATCGAGGCGGACGTAAGTTAGGCCGTACATGACATCTATGTCATGACTATCTTGTTTGTACGTGTCATTTACTTTCGTCTGTTCCCGTCAGGTGATACCAAATTTGGTATATGTGCAGCTAGTAGATGTTATTGCCCCTGAAATTTAAATTTATCAAATAAATTCGAATAGTCAAAAGTTTTATCGGAAAATCCATATTGGATTTTAAGTGCGAACAATTTCTTTCTGCACTGCAAGCACTTTAGGCGTCCGTCCGTCCGTCCGTCCATCCGTCCGTCCGTCCGTCCGTCCATCCGTCCATCCATCTATCTATCTATCTATCTATCTATCTATCTATCTATCTATCTATCTATCTATCTATCTATCTATCTATCTATCTATCTATCTATCTATCTATCTATCTATCTATCTATCTATCTATCTATCTATGTGCTACAACTTTTAGCTCTCCTAGCCATTTCACTAATGGTATCGATACCAAGTTTGGTATGGCATAAGATGACTGTATGACAAGCATGGTTCCTTTTTCATCGAAAGGACAAGTTCTAAGCGCTCATTTGTTCTGGTTTGACAGGTTTAAAGTTTACCGCGTGTAGACGGTACCTTTATCACCGCACGCATCGCACATTTCATAACGGCAGTGTCGCGCACGAAGCGATCGAGGGCCGTGAACAGGTCACGAAAGTAGGCCCACCAGAAGCGCGTAACGGCATCATGATATGCGAGGGCCAACCACTGAAGCGTATGCACGCGCCTAAAAGCGTCTAGTCGCGCCAATGAAGGAAAAGGGCGCACAACCACTGGTATGCGTCGATGCTATAATACTTACCAGTGTGCCAACCGCTGGCAAGTTGGCGTGGAAAATGATGATGGCACGAAAATGAATGCCTCTCACCGGGTTTTGTAACCATCGTGGAGACGCTGTGCGGACGTGCTTCGCATGAGCTCCGACTCGGTGACCGACTATCGACGGACGCGCTTTTTTCTGGACTTGCTGTCAGTGGGCTCGTCTGCAGGAGGTTGCCCTGTACCTACGGACACCACACGTACAGGCGAGCTTGTCCCCGTTTTTGGAGTTTCCGAGATTTTTCTATCAACCCCGCGGTGGCAAGGCTAGGCCTATCTCCTAGGCCATGCCTGGGCCGCGTCGTCGGGCATCTGGCTTGTGCCTGGTGACCGTGGACTTTGTTAGGCTGAAGATTGAATACTACGTCGAAGGGGAGACTATGACGCCCGAAGATTTTGAAGCGTGAGAGTGGGCTCTAGTGCTGAAGGCACAGGACGACTTTAAGAAGACTCTGCATGGCGACAACGCCAAGAGTAAGCCTTGCGAGACGCAGGCCGGCAGCGACGGGCGCAAGATGCGCGGAGCGCAGCAAGTCAAGCGGGGGAAAGCGCCGGTGTGGAAGAAACGCGGAATGTTTCTCTTGAACGCCATTTAAAATGATAAATCCTACCCGGATCGCGAAAAGTATGCTGTCACCTGTCATCATAATTCACGCTCTTTTCCTTTCCATCAGAATCTAATCACACCTACAGGCCAGTTGTGGGTCCCTATAAGAGAAATAAAGTGAACTAAAGATACATAACTGGACGCTGAAACAAACTTGGAAAGTCTGAACCTGCGTATATAAACGAGTTCAGGTGATTTAGAACGAAGCAGAGAATGCGTAATGAGAATTGAAAGAGGAAGGACAGGGAGGTTAGGCAGTACCGACCTTCCAGGTACGTTAGGCGGATGACCGCGCGTTAAACCTAACCTAATTGGCCAAAGTTATTAGAATTCATGCTCGGGTCCTCCGAAATGTGCGTGCAAAAGTGGATCTCTGGGGGCAGCATAAGTTGAGGCGAATAGCATTCCGTCCTTATCTGTGTAGGCAGCCGTGAAAGCTTCGTGACGATCAAACGACGTTATAGAAGAAGAACCAGAAACAGGAGGTACGCTGCCCACCGAGCTACAGCCAGTCGGCCAAGGAGCAAGTGAATAGTCTACAAAGTGGACAACACAAGAATCGCGCCCCAGATTCACTATTAATCCATCTCCATATAAATCACGTGGTGCCAGCAATATCTTCCTGGCAATTCGCAGCCCTGTTTTACACACTCAGATTCTCAAAGGCAAATGCAACGTTGATACATTCGTCAAAACGATAAGTACATTCATACAGGCAGATCCAACGTTGATACATTTGTCATAACGATAAGTATATTTTGCAAGCTTAACTTAAAATGAGCTCGTTCAGGAACAATATCTCCGGCACAAACCTTACACTATACATATTACGATGCTTTTGCAGTGGGCTGTTTTAGAACCTAGCAATTGTTGTCCTAGCCCGAATTCTGAATTGCGGGAGACTACCAGATCACATGGCCAGTTTCAAAAGTAAACTACAATACCGAGCACAAGAAGGGACTTGTTGATGTTGTTCGCTTCGACGAACGTGTTTCCTCGGCTGCGCGTCTTTTTGGTCTTCTCGGACCCAGCGAGGTCGACGAGGGACAGCTTTCCCTGGCGCCGGATGAACGTGTTAGGGTCGTCCGGGTCATGCACTTCAGAAGCCAAGCTGATGGTCAGAATGCTGTGGCTGCGACTTGAGTGTTCGTTCATGTCGTGGCTGCGCACCTGGCGGTTCTTGCGGCCTGCACAATAAATGGCAACACTGCAGTAATATGCCGTAAATCTACTTCGTTAGAAAGTTGTTTTGTGTTTTATTCTTACTGAGGTCGTTCTTGACTAGACAGTTTAAAACCCAGTGAACCATGGCTGTATGCTGATCAATTTAACGCGGAAACACCACGAAATTCTGGCTCTATTTGTCGCCACCAAAAACCCTCCTGCAAGGCTGCTGTGCGCAGCTCAAGCTCAGCAACCAACTCCTGGTCATCCAGAGCTACGTTCATAGAACGTTGGTCCCGAGGGCGCGGTACATTGCTGAGAAGCACCAGCTTCTGGTACAATCCTGGAAGGAGCCACAAGGCTGAGCTAGACGATAGTTATAGCACGAGAACATAACGACGACAAAGAGACAAGAAGGACACGAGCGCTAACTTCCAGCTCCAACTTGGAAGTTAGCGCTCGTGTCTTTCGTGTACTTCTCGTCTCTTTGTCGTCGTTCTGTTCTCGCGCTATAACTATCGTCATGTAATACCAACTGGCCCAAGCTGCCACACTGCTGAGCTAGAGGGAGGGCACTCTGGCCGCGTTCACTCTCTGCCGCTTTTGGACTACAATAATGTTCTCACCTACTCCTACAAACCCACCCTTCAGAGGTGAACATTTCGCAGAAGTGTTTCTGGTTAGAGTAGAAACTGAAGGAATGAGAAAACAACCAAAATATATTCGAGAAAAAAACCCAACGTTTCGAAGCCGGTTCGGCTTCTTGCTCACGGGTGACAAGGCCCTAGATGTGCGGCGCTTATATACAGTTGCTTGCAGTGCGTGAGAGGCTCGCCATGACTTGTTGCAAGCCCTGGAAGTACAGCGGAGGTGATGTCTCTGTGGAGTGGTTAGTGTTCTGCGCTGTACGCTGAATGTGCCAGGATTAGAGGGGGAATTGCTGGCGAGGGTTCTTTTATTTTTACAGAAACACCACGTCGACGGAACAGATGTGGGGTGTAACCGCTAGTAGTGTTCTGCTACTGCACTCCGCTGGCTGTTCAATTGACGGAGGTTGTTCTCGTGTTACCGGATTCTTTCTGACACTTCTTTGTTTTCCCAATGTAGGAAGCGGGGCTGGCGGCACACGAGATCTTGTATACATGACGCCCTGATATTTCCGCATGTGCACAATCTTTGGGCTGAGGATTGAAGCTGCCGATAGTTGTGGAATGTTTGTGGGTGACATCTACCTCTGCCTTTTTCAGCATACGGGCTATTGTTTCGCCGGGGCTGGAGACGTACGGAATTGACATGCGGTGTCGTTGTGGCGATGCAGGTGGCGCGCTTTCTCCATTTTTACTCTTACGGAGGGCTCTGCGAACAAACGCTTTTATGTATCCGTTGGCCCGAGGTTTTCATGATCGTGAAAACTGAACAACACCTGCTCACCGCACGCCTACATGAGGGCAATGCGACCATCGGGAAAAAAAGTACTGGACTTTTTCTTCACCATACGCCAGCTGGAGCATCGCATCGCGAACGTAATGCCACCGAAGTCAGGAAAAAGAAACTAAACCACAAGAAGAAGCTCTACTGCTTAATTTACCACCAGAAAGCGCTAACAATACTTATAAGCACCTCTGTGACGAACCTCTCATCCTGTAATCTCCTAACGGCAGAATTAATCGTGTGGGAATGGAGGCTAGCCTGTCGCCATTGCTTGGAATCTGTCGCCTATTTCAGGCCTTTTCACGTCCTGACATGACTCTCCTCTCCTCCGTGGTTTCAATGTTTTTTTATTAGCATCAGAAATGTACATTGTGAGTAAGTATGCAGGAGGAGGTCCCAAGGTAGTAAACCGCAAGCGGGACCTCCTATGTTAATACAATGAAAAAGCTACAATATGAATAACGAAAGAGCAAGTCACGGAACATTTCGAGCTTTTTTTTTTTTACAAACAAAGCAAGATATCGAAAATTAACAAAATCTAGCAGTTATACGTTTAATAGAGACTTTTTCAATTTTCTCTTAATAACATGAATGTGCATTAAATCTTTCCCATAATGTGATAAAGAATTTCATAATGAAATTGATGAAAAACAATGCTCATTTTTCGATAATTAGTGCGAACTTTAGGTAATAACAGGTTATGGGCGACCGCGAATCTAGTATTATTGGAATTATCCAACAAGGTAATAGGAAATATGTCGATAGTGATGGTGCGGTGAAAAATTTTGAGAAACAAAACATACACATTATAAACGTACATTTGGGAGATCGGTAATACGTCAAGCTGGCGAAAAATCGCATGTAATGGCGCTTGACGTGAAGCGAAAGTTATGAGTCGAATTGCTTGTTTTTGCAATACCTTTAACGGCCAAATGTGCACCGAATAGGAATTACCCCATGATGTAATGCAATAACTGAGATGACTGTGTATGAATGCATAATACAATGCCTTCAGAATTTTGATGTTAAAACACATTCGTGACTTGACCAATGCCCTGATATCGTACGAAATCTTTTTACAAACATAATTGATATGTTGCTGAAATTTCAGATGTGTGTCCATTATAACTCCTAAAAATGACGTATGATCACTTAAAAAAATAACTACTGAGTTCACATAAAGGTAAGGAATGAATGCTAGTTTTTTGTTTGGTGAATCAAAAAGCCCAAAACAGGTTTTGGAAGTATTATTCAACAATCTATTAGAGTTGCACCAGTCAACAAGACAATTAAGGTCAGCTTGAAGTCTTGACACGAGAGTCGCTAAATCCAAGTGATGAGAAAAGAGAGTCGTGTCATCAGCGTAAAGTAAACAAGAAGAATAATTAAAGCAACGTGGTAAATAATATATGAATAATAAAAATAATAACGAACCCAAAATCCAACCTTGCGGAACACCTCTTGTAATGGGGTTGGCACTGGATGTGAAATTTTCGACCGAGACCACCTGAAACCTATTGAGAAGAAAGCTGTGTACTAGCGTTAATGCGTGACCAGTCATGCCATAGTACTGGAGTTTGCGAAATAGGATAAAATGATCAATTCTGTCATATGCTTTAGTAAAGTCGACGAAGACAGATCCTGCGATGTTACCATTATCAATGAGTGATCTGATTTTGTCAGTGAAACAAGCAATTGCAGTATCAGTGGAAAGACCAGCCCTAAAACCAAACTGACAAGGAGAAAGTATGTTAAATTTGCTTAAATATTTAGATATTCTTATTCCAATTAGTTTTTCCGAAATTTTATCCAGGAAGGGAAGGACAGATGTGGGCTTGTAATTGCACAATCTGAGGGTATCACCTTTTTTAAATACTGGCACTACCTTCGCAATTTTTAATTTATCCGGGAAAACACCGTTCTTCAAACAGCGGTTAAAAGCGTGGCTTAATATAGGCGCTACAAGAGATCTTACAAGTTTAATGTGCTTTGAATGGATGTTGTCTAACCCAGCTCCGGTAGCTTTTAATCCAGAAATAATTAAGGAAATTTCAGAAGCACATAAAGGAAAAAGAAACATCGACTGAGGACTGTCAGAAAACGGAGGTACATAGTCTGAGGAGAAGGGGACTGCAAGGCTAGTGGAAAAGTTTACATTAAAGGCGTTGGCCACGTCACTGGCCGCAGTGAGGGTGACGTTGTCGACACGAATAGAGGTCACTTTTCTGCGCGACTGAGTGGAATTTATAAATTCTTTTAAAAGCTGCCATTTTTTACCTGAGTTATGTCCACAATTCTGTAGTTTCCGCTCATAGTAACTTTGTTTAACCTTTCTCAAAAGTGTAGCCAATGTGTTGGAATAAGTTTTATAGCGTGATTTCAAGCGTGAACTAAAAGGCTGACGTTTCGTCTTTTTGTACAGGTTCTTTTTTTTTGCGAAAAGATCGTATCAGTGATTGTGATAACCAAGGGTACCGTGGGACGAAGTAGCGTCTGTTAGATGATCGCAATGTAGTTAAACGCTCAACTGCTGAATAAATAGCGTCGTAGAACCTGGTCAAGGCCTCTTCAGGATCATTCGCGGCATATACACTGGACCAATCTTCATTGGCACTGAGCATGCAGTACTTGTCTGAATCAAAGCGATACTTTTGACGTATTATGTTGCTACGAGTGATGACCTGTTCAAAATATAGGAACACAGGAAAGTGATCTGTGATGTCACTCTCCATGACACCAGCATGACTGACGTCATCAATGTTTGTGAGGATGTGATCGATTGATGACCGTGAGCCGTTATCAGAACAGCGTGTTGGTACAGATATTAGCGATTAAAACCCAAAACTATGAAAACAAGTCTTATACTCTAGAGCAGAATAGTTAGAGGAATCTAGTAAATCAAAGTTCATGTCGCCCATAATTATTATATTCTTGCGCTCAGCAGTAAGTTTATCACGCAAGTGATGAAGCGCATTACAAAAACCAGAGGGGTCACTGGAAGGGGATCGATAGACAGCAGCAAGAATAGTTTTTCGTTGATTCTGACAAAGACCCGGCAGTTCAATTTCCAACCAGAGAGATTCACTTTTCGCCACATTTAGGTTTAAATCATTGCGCCTTTAATACAGAATGTTGTTTGATATAAAAATGGCGGAGCCACCATGACGATCATCAGTTCGATGAGCATATTCGCTTACATAACCGAGAAAGCCATACAAGTCCCCATGACAAAGCGATAACCAAGTTTCGGAGCAACAGACAGCCGAGAACTGATGATTAAGGGATGCTAGTACAGCGGTAATACTGTCATAATTTTTAGGAAGGCTACGAGCATTGAAATGAATCGAAGGAAAACCCCAGTTCTGCGAAGAAATGTTATTATAGTCACCCGGAAGAAAATAAGCCATTATGTTTTCTTTTTTTTTTTCAAGCTTACGTTATTTCACGTCTATACGTTGAACACATGTAGGTCAACATCGCTGAAAATTCTGTGCACCACACTATCCAGAATTTGTCTTGCCTTAATAACACAATAGTCAGTCCACAGAAAAGCCCACTTCATTTGTTTCTTGAGTGCAAGTGCTTTAGAAAA